GAAATAATCGTTTTTTTATCATATCTTCAATATTTTTTCAGATATTTCCATGCACCTAGGGAGCATCAATAGGCATCACATGATGGATGAAACATTTCAATATTTTTCTAGAAAATCCTCAATATTTTTGCAACAATTCATCTTGATCTCGCAAATTTTGCTTTCGCTCGGCTTCGCTAAACGCTCCGCCTCGCAAATGCAAAATTCGCTTGTCAAACAAAGTGTCACTTTTGATCCTAATAAAACAATCTACTATTCGTGACTGTTCGATCATATATTCTTGGGAATATGCGCTCAAATGTGATCCATAATTCAGATTCCTTCGTTTCTTGTCGAGGTTTCGAAAATGTTAATTCTCTTTATCAAATCTAACTACAAAAACATCGAATGAATAATATGTTGTTATTCATCATTCATCAACGGAATATACTCATTAATATGGAATGCTATATGGAATCAAGCGAATCAGGTAACATACGTGAATAAATATACAGGGTGAATCATGAGTCGTGGATAAAAAGAAGTGGGGTGGTCGCATCAAACTAACCGTATAATGTGGTTATCCAATTGTTGATGGTTCGAAAGATTTTCTTTCCATGTCCATAAAAGGAATTAATAACAATGAAACTATGTCACATTTGTGATTATTTCTTTCACAAATTCCATTCACATGGAAAATAGCAGAGAGGACAGTGAAAAGCATGTGTTCGTGGGATACTGTGATGACTTAACGAACGGCAATTACTATAGATTATTGAATAACGATAATGAACTGATCAGATTCACAGATGATATATTTCTCGAAAACTCGTCAGATTTTGAGTCACTACAAGCACAATCAAATGCATTCGAAAATAAGGTACTGATTTTGGATGATGCGGTGCAAAAATCTCTATCAGGAAATTGTGTCTCTGAACACTCAATATCTGAGGGTGAGTCTTCTTCAGTTGCTGAGACTGTGAATAGAGCAGGAGATAGGAGAACCTATAGTGATATCCTTGTAGACAATGTGAATATTGAACGTAGGTTTCCACATCGAGAAAAGAAAACTAGAGAATTTCCAGGCTTCATGATCTACAAAGCATTGTGCATGATGATGATCCAACTACAGTTCATGAAGCACTGAATAGAACTGACAAGCATAAATGACTCGATGCATTGGCTATAGAATTCAATTCAATGAAACAAAATGAGTCTGGGCGAGATTGGTTGCCAAAGATTTCAGACAGGTTCATGGTATTGATTATGATGAAACCTCTGCACCAGTTGTTAGGAGAGGAACGATTTGAATGCTGATAAGTATTGCTGCTGAATAAGACCTCTTCATTGATCACATGGATGTGAAAACTGCTCACTTGAATAGGGATCTACAAGAAGTGGTATATATGAGACAACCAGAGAAATCTCTGACCAGAATAATGAGGATAAGGTGTGTTTGTTACACAAAGGCTTGTATGGTCTCAAGCATGTTGCCAGATCTTGGGATAGAAAGATTCATGAGGAATTAATCAATCTAGGATTCAAGAAATTTGCTCATGGATGTTGCATCAACCATGACATGACAAGAGAAATATAGTCTGATAATTGCTATTTATGTTGTTGGCTCATTGATCTTCTCGAGCGATGGTAATCAAAATTTGAAAAATCAAGGAGAAATCGATGTCAATTTCTGATATGCAAGACCTCGGAGATGCGAAATATTGTTTAGAAATTCATTTCTTCCAAGATGGAGATGATATTTCGATGAATCAGAAAAAAATACATTCTAGAACTACTTGAGAGATCATGGTCTGTAATCCTGTGAAAACTCCCATGGAGTCAAAATTGAACCTTCGTTTTCCTGAAGCTAGAGATATACCGGATATGCCATATCAGATTCTCATAGGAGCACGTATGTATTGAGCTATATGAACTCGACCTAACATATCGTCTGCAGTGAATTCAATGAGTCAATTCAATTCGAACTATTCAATCGAACTGTGTAAGCATGCAAAGAGGATTCTGAAATACTTCCGGTTTAAAGTGTGTGTGTTTTAAAAGTGTTTTTAACCGCCAGCTTAGTTGCAAAGCAACCCTCGAAAGTCAGAGACTTGTGTGAGTTAAGAAGACGGGGACCTTAGCTTTTTAAGTGTCATCCGAAGCACTACTCGGCTGGTAACCGTGGACAGTCCAAAGGATTGATATCTAGGTACCAAGAATGTTGGGTTGGCCACCTATCTCCTCCCGCCCAACGAAACTACCGAAAATTAATTCAGTGCTCGCGCCGGGGATCGAACCCGGACCGCCTGGGCAACAGCCAGCGACTCTACGCTCACGGCCACCAGCCCAGCAGGTTAACTGAAATAAGCCTCTTAGGTTTTGTTGATGCTGATTGGGATGAAAATGCTATAGATAGGCGCTCATTCAGTGGATTTGTTTTTGTTTTTGCTGAGGCTGTAATTTCTTGGGGTAGTAAGGAACAATATTCGGTATCTTTATCCAGTATCGAATCTGAGTATATAGCACTATCAGGAAGTGCAAAAGAGGCAGTATACTTGCTCAATTTATAAAAAGAACTCACAGAATGTTCGAAACCGTCGATTATCGATATGGATAATCAGAGTGCAATCAATTTGTCAACCAATCCTGTTTTTCATAGCAGGACTATGTTTAGTCTTGTCGCTTTCGTCAATGTATTGAAGATAACAGCATAAATCTCAGATACAAGACAACTTGTCAGAAGCCGGCCGATATGATAACAAAATCATTGTGTGGATCCAAACATAGTGATTGTGAAAAATATATTGGTTTGCTATGACATCTATTTTGTAGGTTGTATCCAACGAGATTGAGTGTTGAATTTATTCATTACAGGGTGATTATGAATCCCTAGTTCAATGGATATTGTTGAGAATTATTAGGTATAAACGAGGATACTGTATATGATTTGTTACCTTGACATTGAATATTATTAGATATATCGTCTTCTAGAAATACAAGACTTGTCGGTCATCCCTCATCAAAACTATTCACTGTTCATAACAAGTTCATCAGTTTCTATGGAATAAAACTTTGAGTATCATTTCAATATATGTGTAGTAGGACGAATCAGATGATTCACCTCAAAATTTCACTGAGTTTGACACATTCTCCTATCAGGGAGCCTAGAAAAACAATCCAATAGATTGTCAGTTTGAAGTGATGAAATGTGGATATTTTGAAAACATTTCAAATCTTAACATATCTTCGTACGTTTCAGGAACGAATCTGCTACCGTTCTCAACATGAAAATGCAGAAATTTTATTCTACAAACGTCAAAAAATTACAAACTTCGCACATTGATAACAAATTGCGAAGTGACACTTCTTTTCAGTTTCCTACGTTACCATGATACCTTGCACAAAACAATGCGCGCAGTAAAACAGTGCGCGAAGTACCTACTTCGCGCATTGTTATGTAAAATATATGAGATATTCATATGGTCCTCAATCGAGCAAACATCCATGAAATCATTTATTTCTGAATAATCCACAATAACTCTGTTTTATCTCTTGGAGCACACGAAAGGAAATTCCTATTATGTTCGTGGAACATCGTGCGTACCTAGGGCGGATAGAGGAAGGCCTTTTAAGCCATTTCAACACTATTTTTTATGTCAAGCTAAGCATATTTTCACTTTAGAGCTATATTTTTTGACGTTTGAAAAAAAAATTTCGTTTGCAACTCGAGCGCGAAATACTTTGGTGATCGAGATCTGATTTTTTTAACGAGGCGTAGCCGAGTTGAAAAAATAGTCGAGAGTAGCATTTCGCGCTCTAGATACAAAAATAACTATTTTCTTTGAAAATTGTTTCCTTATAGCTTGATACTTCGCAGTGACATATACTGATGATGTTGGCATATAAATTAATAATATCAGTATACAAATGAGTTACAGAGGATGTTTTCATAAATTGATCTTGAATCTATCATTTTCATATTTCATTTTTAGTAGTGCATACCATGCTCAATCTATATCAACTGAACAGGAAGCAATGCTTGTGTTTGTGGAAAGTATTATACAGGTGAAACGAAGAGACCTATCTCAGCAAGGACGAAATAGGAATACAAGTAGACAAGAAAAGACATATCAATAAATCAAAGCTAACTGAATATATATTCTCACTGAAAATGGCCAACATATGGCAGAATGAACTATTACTAAGATTATAGGAACGGAAGATAACAACCAAAAGGATCCGCTTGCATTCTTCTAAACGGAGACAATAGCATTGCTTCCTGTTCATTTGATATAGATAAACTTCTGAAAACTGAACATGAAGATTGTAAATTCAACATCAAATTGATGGAAATATCCTGTAACTCATTTGTATACTAACATCAATCACTAATATGCAAAATCAGTATGTCATAGAGAAGTGTCAATCTATAAGAGAACACTTTTCAAAGAAGAATAATTTCGCATTTTCATGGTGAGAACAGGGGCAGAATTGTTTGCGAAACGTCCAAAGATGAGTATGAATTCGATATTCTCTCAATATATCTATGTATATTTCTTTTCTTCAAACATTTTCACAAACAAAGTGTCACTGACAAGCTATTCAATATTTCTTTTAGGCTCCGTGATATAAAACTTTGATAAACGCCGTACATTTTTGGGGCAAATCACCTGATTCGTCCTACTACACATATGTTGAGATATTACTCATGTTTTTATTTTATAGAAACGAGGAGAGAAAAGCCTAAATAATCATGTGAAATGAATGTAATACCTTCCCGATTAACCTACAGACAGTATTAGGTAGATCAATCATCATCAACAAAAAAAATCTATAGAATCAAGTTTTCTTATGATCCTCTCATGCTGAAAACTAAAATTAGTGAATGAGTTCCTGAATCAAGATCATGAGTAACATAACTCACCTTCAAATTTAATAAAAATAGTTGAATGAAACTGTATTAGTAATGTTGAAATTGTTAAAAAAAGCAGTTATAAATAGTAACACATTAAATTACATACCTGACCTATTCTCACCTGGTACACAACTATTCTCAACTCCGTCAGACGACCCTATGTTGATTGACTCCGCACTGAAAATGGCGAATTCGCTGAAAATTCCTCCAGTTTCAGCTAATAATAAGTTCACCCCGTGTCTGTTACCGCGGTATCAGGGGCGTAAGGGGGTTAACTCCCCGCTAAATCACCCACAACCCCAGACTGTGTCATTCGGCCGAAATAAATATTCGTGATGACATTCAATATATGCGAAAGGAAAATAAATAAATTTGCCCGATGAAGGATAAGACTCGATTTGATGGTCGATTAGGAAATTAGGTTGAATCGATAGTTTTTGCATGTCGTTGCTATGTAAGTATTCCTATGTCTTCAGCTTTATCGTTGAACGATTAAACTGTGTATGACTACGAGCAATTAAATTACTGTTTGTTTAACTTTTTTGCTCCATAATCACATAGAATGCATAGACAAGCTCAATATTCGTATCTTCAAGGCTACTAGAAGATTATAAATTTCGAGACCAAACATGGTATACCACTTTCAAATATTCCATAACTCAATAATATTATACTGGAGGTCATTAACATCCATTCAAAGTCAATTATTCTCTGATGTTTTGTAACACGTGAGATCAATTACTGAAAGTGCATCTCAAAAACTTGGTTTCCTGCTTCGCGCCAGGAGCTATTTCACTTCCAGTCAGCTGCTCATGATCTATGAGGCACAAATCCGACCTGTCCTGGAATACTGTTTCCATATTTGAAGTGCAGCACCCAAACATACCCTGAAACAGTTCGATTCTGTCCAAAAAAAGGCAATTCGTCTCGTGGGTTATGCCTTGCTCACGAACTCACTCACTTCTCTGGAACACCGTAGAAAAGTTGGCGAGCTGGATCTATTTCATATATATTTTCATGGACGATTCTCTTCTGGAATATCAACAATTATTGTTTTTCCCTTGGCAGTCCCCGCGAGATTAACCCGTCGAGTTGAGGCTTCGCACCCCTTCGTGGTCACTTTGGAGACCTGCAGAACATCTCTTTCCAAAGACTCGTTCATCCAACGAACAGCAAGGCTCTGGAACACATTGCCATGGGAGGTGTTTCCCAAGGCATATAACCTCCAGAAATTTAGAAGAACACCAATTCCCACCTCATTTCAGGATATCCCTTTTCGTGGGAACCATAACATAAAAAAAAGATAACGACTTCAGAAACCTATAGATCTTCTTGCAGTTGCCAATTCGCGGAAATTGACCAAACTGAGTAAGTAATAATTAATCTCGTGTCATCTCAGTTAGATATTCATGTAATGGCTTCAATGTGACTCATAAATGTGAAAAAATTATTTGATTAATTTTTCTCGAAATAACTAGAATCATTCATTATTTCAATACAAAGGTTTTATGACAATAGATTATATTTTTTTATTCATTTTATATAATCAATTGATGGAGAATTATTTCATTATCAGTCTGACCTATACCCGAGCCTATACCTAACGTGTATAGGTATAAATTGCTGCAACAAATTATGAATGCTGTCATGGAGTCGGAAAAGTACTGAACTGAACTAGATTCTGTGGATGGAAATGGATGAGTTGAACTTCAGAAAAAGCAAGTCTGATGATAGACCAAAAATAAGAGAATATACCTTACATTCAGAGTAAATATCGGTTGAAAATGTAATATCTCCATCAACATTCCAAATTGATAACGAACAAAATATTATTAAATACTGTCTGTAGGTTAATCGAGGAGGTGGTACATTCATTATTCCAAATTTTTTGGGATTTTGTCTCCTCGTTTCTATAAAATAAAAATAAGAATATTATTTCAATATACGTGTAGTAAGGACAAATCAGATGATTTGCCCCAAAATGTCACTGCGTTCAAAGAATTTTCCTATCAGAGAGCCTAAAAGAAAAATTCACTAGCTTGTCAGTGACAATTTGTATTGAAAAAAATTTGGAGAAGAGAAATAAAGGTATATAGAAAAATATCATATTTCTACTTATCTTTGGACGTTTCGGGACCGATTCTGCTCCCGTTCTCAACATGAGATATGATTATTTCGATAGCTAAGTCGTATTTGTCTTGAAGCTTTTCAGTTTTTATTGACAATTGGTGACGTTGGCAATCAAATGAGTTACAGGATGTTTTCATTAATTAATCTTGAATTTACCATTTTCATGTTCAGATTTTAGAAGTGAATACCATATTCTGTCTATATCAACTGAACAAGAAGCAATGCTATTTATTGTCTCCGTTCAGAAGGATGCAAGCAGATTCCTTGATTTTTCTCTTCTGGTTGTTATCTTCTTTTCCAATGATTTTAATATCATTCCACTGTGCCATATGTTGTCCGTCTTCAGTAAGGATATGTTCAGCTTGTTTCGATTTATCGATATGTCTTTTCTTCATATTGTACGTATGTTCCTTCGTCCTTACTGAAAGAGGTCTCTTGGTTTCACCTGTATAAACCTTTCCACAAACACAAGGTATACTGTAAATACAATTTTTTGACGATTGTTCTTCATTTTTCGGCTTTGTTTGAGGTAGAATTGATCTCATTGTATTTTCAGTTTTGAACACAGTTTTCACTTGAAATTTATCAATAACGACAAATATAATACCATACATTCCCGGCATATCTGAAAAAATAAAACGTGTTGGTGATAAATTTCTAGTGAAAACTGTGTTCAAAACTAAAAATACAATGAGGTCAATTCTAACTCAAACAAAGCCTAAAAATGAAGAACAATCGTCAAAAAATTGTAACTACAATATACCTTGTGTTTGTGGAAAGTTTTATATAGGTGAAACCAATAATAGACCTCTTTCAGTAAGGACGAAGGAACATAAGTACAATATAAAGAAAAGACACATCGATAAATCGAAACTAGCTTAACATATCCTTAATGAAGACGGACAACATATATATGGCACAGTGGAATGATATTAAAATCATTGGAAAAGAAGATAACAACCAGAAAAGAAAAATCAAGGAATCTGCTTGCATTCTTCTGAACGGAGACAATAGCATTGCTTTTTGTTCAGTTGATATAGACAGAATATGGTATTCACTACTAAAATCTGAATATGAGAATGGAAAATTCAACATCAATTAATGAAAACATCCTGTAACTCATTTGATTGCCAACGTCACCAATTGTCAATGAAAACTGAAAAACTTCAAGACAAATACGACTTAGCTATCGAAATAATCATATCTTATGTTGAAAACGGGAGCAGAATCGGTCCCGAAACGTCCGAAGATAAGTGAAAATTTGATATTTTTCTATATACCTTTATTTCTCTTCTCCAAACTTTTTTCAATACAAATTGTCACTGACAAGCTAGTGAATTTTTCTTTCAGGCTCTCTGATAGAAAAATTTTTTAAACGCAGTGACATTTTGGGGCAAATCATCCGATTCGTCCTTACTACACGTATATTGAAATAATACTCAAATTTTCATTTTATAGAAACGAGGAGAGAAAATTCCAAAAAATTTGGAATAATGGACAATATTATTGAACAAATAAGCCCTACAATGGTTATCCGTCACACCTCCAGGAGAGAATTTTCATCAGACATATTAAAAACATAGAACCAAAATTTATTACCTTTGAATAACCCTCGTACACGGTTTTTTCAATTCCATTTTTAGGTAAACTTCCATAATGATGACCATCACACGGGAAAAAGGGGTAATGGCACAATTGACTTGACACCGCCATATCTCTTAGGCTAACCTTTTCAGTATAAACAGAAGTCCATAGCAATAACGCAGCATAATCAGCTGATATGTTCGTTATTCGCTTTCGTGACGTCACACTAGTAGGGACAAAATCAACGCAGTGGAATTTGTCTCTTCCATTTCATTGATGAACCTCAGAAAAACGGTTACAGTTAGCGAAAAATATCAAGAGGTCAAATATGTACAGAACAAAATTTTCCAGGAGATGAATCAACTCTCACTGATTTACGATCATTAGTTTCAGAAATATCGCATATCAAAATTAATTGACGCCATTCAGAATTGTACTTTTTTAAGCAGCTACCAAAATTCCAATATTCAATTCACAGAAATGATTCAATCATGAAAAGATTTCTCTTAGTATCTAGATTGACTGAGTTTTTTTTTTCATTCCCAAGGACCGAAAACAAACCGATATTTCAATTCAAGTAGAACGATGATTTGGATGTTAATTACACAATAGTTCAAAAAGTTCGGACGCCTCCCATGCTAATCCTATCAACTGTGGATATATGCTGTCACTGACTCTTTTGTAGGAAATTTAATTGCCTACAGATCGGTATAAGACACATCCACTTTACCTCGAAGGGTTTTAGCAGCGTTTATGTCTAAACATGATCAGGACGCACTTTGATGACGTCAGAAATCCTATCACTCGAGTGCGTTATTACACAAAAACGCCAATTCGGTATTAATTATTTTCTACTGGAGAGTATATATTTCAAGAATAACGTTAAATCCATGTGAAAATTTGATTTGGATATATTTCCAAACTATCATAATTTAAATGAAACGAAATATGTGGAGTTCATATGAACATGTATGAACACAACCAAACAAAAATAATTAAAGAAATATGTATTTCCACAATGAGAGATATAAAAATGAATATAAAGAACTGAATAACAGAAAACCCAGAACAACGATATAATGAATAGATAAAGAAAAAATAAAAAAGACGTTGAATCCTTATATACAAACAAAACCAAACAAAATAAACTGTAAAAATGATCAATATAACAAAATAAAAATAAATTAGAGATATCACAAAATGAAATGCACTATATAATAACATAAAATATATAAACATCGTCATAAACTATAGACCGATTTCCCTGATTACAACTGTATCAAAGATTTTTGAAAAATTATTGAAAAATCGTCTGAATAATTATTTGAACAAAAACAATATCATCTCCAACAAGCAGTATGGATTCAAAGAAAGAGTATCTACCCAAGATGCTATTATTGAGCTAACCACAAACATGTATAATGCCTTAGATGCAGGTAAACCCTCATTATTCATAGATCTCTCAAAGGCCTTCGATACAGTAAGTCACGAATTACTCATCACATGTTTAGGAGAAATCGGTATAAGAGGAGTACCCTTGAAATTGTTTGAAAGTTATTTATCTGGCAGATCACAGTGTGTACAGGTGAGAACAGAAAAAAGTACCTCAGAAATGGTGAAATACGGAGTGCCTCAAGGAACTGTCCTTGGGCCACTTCTTTTCAACATTTACTTGAATGATCTTTTCAAAATCAATACCAAAGGTAAAATAATTACATATGCAGA